TATGAAAGGTTTACAGTTTGTTCCATGGGCTGTTAAATGGAGATCTGTTTTGAGATGGTGAAAGATAAACATTAATCAATAATAACAGAGCATTATTGAATTTAATGGAGCATTCCATTGGATTTAAGTGTGTAATGTTTGAACCTTAGTTGATATTTGTACACTTAAACCACCACACAATCTACCAGGTTCTGCTCTAAGTACTGGTGGAAGCAAAGGGGATTTATATACATTTAATGCAAGCTGTTTTCAAGGTTTATAGTAGTTGGGACATATTTTAAGTTGAGAGAAAAAGCAAGTGATTTTTAGTATATAATGTAGTTGTAGCACAGAAGATGGCTTCCATTTTGTTCCCCTTGCTTCAATGTCTTTATTGATACAACGAGAGAGAGAGAGAGAGAGAGAGAGAGAGAGAGAGAGAGAGAGAGAGATAAGGCCAAAGAAGTTGGATCTTCTGGAAACATTTCTAAGGAAAGAGATAAGCAGTCATATGAAGTCAAGAACAGAAAACTCTTGAAACAGAATTGGCGCCAGTTCTAAAACGTGACATAATGTGATCCTTTGAATTTTGCAGCCCCAGCACTCTTCCACCTCAAACAGATCTGGTTTGTTTTTGAAGGAACACAAACCTCAATAGTTGTTCAGCCAGAAGCAGCAAGGAAGAAAAATGTGCAAAACTACAATTGTCTCTAGTTTGTTGTGTCACGTTGAGGACTTCAAAAAAATTCTATCAAATCTTTTGCAGCCACATTCTTGGAAAAATTCTCAGGAAGAGAATGAAATAGAACTGAATTGTCCTGAGGTTTTCCTTTGCTTTCAAGCATCTTACTGGCCCCAGGGGTGCCTGAAGCAAACTTACAACACAAAATTCTGCATGTTTACTTGAAAGAATCAAGTTTCCTGGTAAATCTTTTTTTTCCTAGCCAGATGTTGTTTTTGTCAGAAGGTGAAATAGACTTATAGATCTATGCCAGTCATGTCAAGATAGCCGAGCTTTTGGACCATCCTAACCTACTGATCTTGCAAAGGAATATAAAGGCACTTTCCATCATATTTTTAATTGAAAATCTGCTTTTTTAAAAAAAAAAACGCAACTGAACAAACTCATCCTAGAAACTTTAACTTCATGACTGTCATTCTGTAGAATCACCAACATGCTTATGAATGCTTGGATGCTCTCCCAATTTGAAAAAAAAAATGCATACCCACAAAACTTTTCAATAAAAGAAGTCAAACTGTATATTACAAAATCACCTTCTCAGCTTCACTGCCTTGAAATTGATTCATGTATCATTATATGCATGAAAAATTGCTCAGAAAAAGACTCCTCACCTGCATAGCTTGGCAAAGGAGCTGAGATTTTCCCACAGACTTGCATGAAGCTATTCTACTCGGCTCAACAAAATAAGCCATCTTTTCTGTGTTTTCCAAACAGAAAAGCTGAACAAACTGGAACAGCGTAATAGACAGGATTGTTTATACATTAAAAAGAAAAAAAAGAAATCTCACTTGTTACTTTTCATAGTCCTTTTCCAGGGAGCAAGGGAGGAGTTAATCTCCCATCCAGTTCTGTTTTTTTAGCCTATTCTGCATAAGCAAACAGCATTTTGAGAATTAAGCCACAATGTGTGTTGCAAGCCACATGCACCATACATTAGAGGGAATATATTGTAGCTATAACTTTGGTATGGGAACTTGGAAGACAGGTTATAATAGTGAAAATAAGTAATCTATAAATAACCTAAATTTCATAGTTTTCATTAAAATGAAGCATTTGAAAGTTGAAGGAAACTTTTCCATAACTATGTACCACTGTTGTGCTGCATTGTTTACCTTTTGGTCTCTCTCTTTATATTTATATTTCTGTTTGATGGTTTTAAAATATTCATTATTTTATTCTTTGAAATGTTTATATACTCTATTTCTTTGAAATGTATTTACTCTGTGTGAAGGGGACAAGCAGTGAGTAAGAAAGACAAATGAAGTGACACAGATGTTTTTTCTTGTATTCATTTAAAAAAAATTAAGCAGTTCTCAGTGCATCAGGGGAATCTTTTCACCTGAATGTTTTGAGAAACAGTTGTGATTATATGACCTAAAGTCATTGAAAAGTAGCTAAATTTCTAATTGTTAGAAATGTCACTAGGCAATTTAGAAAATATGATTCAATACTCTCCAAAGCTTATTATTGGATCAGGAATAAAGGAAGGAAGGAAGGAAGGAAGGAAGGAAGGAAGGAAGGAAGGAAGGAAGGAAGGAAGGAAGGAAGGAAG